TCCTTGACATCTGAAAATCAACCCATTTGACTTTTCGGCACACATTCACAACACTTCAAATATCTTAGGGGTCATGTGGCTGCAAATTCATTTCTCACCCGTCTTCATTGAACAAAAATACTTTTACACAAACTTACCTAGCAACAAATTAGAAACTGTTGCAGTTAAATAGACATAATCAAATGTTACTGTAAGTACTTTTTCATTTACATAAAAAACTAATTCGGTATAGTTTCTTTTGCTGTTCAGATTAGGCACACCTATTGCAATACCATTGTGATACTGTGGTGGATAGCTCATCCATCTTATGCTGGTTCCTTGCGTTAAGGGGGCGGTCGGGTAGCCTAGTGGTTAAAGCGTTCGCTCGTCACGCAGAAGACCCGGGTTCGATTCCCGACATGGGTACAATGTGTGAAGCCCATTTCTGGTGTCCCCCGCCGTAATATTGCTGGAATATTGCTAAAAGCGGCGTAAAACCATACTCACTCACTCACTCCTTGCGTTAAGCTACGTCAAAATGTCCTAGATTGTCAGGGAATTGAACTTTGACTTTTTTTCAGAGATAAAAATATATACGTTTTCTAACAAGATGTATTTTGATTCAAAGCTAATGGATAGTAATCATGTTTGGAATCATTACTTCCATCGATATCGATAGTAAAGCGCGCAACCGATCATTACCAGTTTAACATTCGTAGGTGCATTGTGATCGAGTCACTGCAATTGCGATGCATCGATAGTTTGATAATTGGTAATCATTAGTCCCGGCGGATGACACCTAGACTTGGTTCACCTTGTCCCCATGAAGGAATCGAACGCGGTCTTCAGTGTTACCATGTAGGCTTTAAGCACAGGGCTACCCTACCACTTCTCGTTCCACCGACGTGGGTGGATCGTGTGTTGTGTGGTAGGCAGCATTTTGTACAGCTCTCTCGCCGGTCTGATATCGAATCCGGACCAGACAATCCAGTGACTAACACGTGGCACATGATCGTTTTGGTACGATGACGCACAATCAACGAGTTGATTTATCAATTCACTGGTTTGCCATGCTATTGCTATATTCGTTTTGTACACCCGAGCCCAATTTAAGTCGCCCTGGAGGAATAGAGACGATGGTACCTATTTCCCGGAATCAATGCGGTATATGAATAATAAGACTAAGAGATAACACGAGAGGTTTGGGTGTTTACTGATGTAGCGGGCAGTAGGTATATGATGTAAGCAGTGCCATTGTGGGCAACCGATCCCCTTTATACGGACCACCGAACATTTCAGCACAGTGTAACCCCGTTAATCAGGAAATCCCATAAACAGAACAATTACTGTTTACGTGAGTCACTACTCTCTGCCAGTGACTCGTTGATCCAGTGATACGTTAATACAGGCGGTATGCCTGGGAACAGCAGTGTCCGGATGAACGAATGTTTCAGTGTATTTGCAGATGACAACAACAGAGTAAGGTTTCATGTTTTCAACATTTTCCGATTAACTGAATTTGTGTTGAGCTCACGCCCCGGCGGATGGGATTTCACCTAACTTGCTTCCAGTTAGACTGACATTGGAGAGCTGTAATATAAGACGGAAGTTATTGTGCCTAGAACCCTTTTATGCAAACATATGTGAAGCAGAAAAAAGTATGTGGGTGACATTTTTTTATACGCGGTACACGATTCCTGACGGATTTGTATGTCGGCTTTGCCAGACGATACAAGATGCGTATTAGTTACTGAGGAATTTGTCGCTGCGCCATACTATTTCTATCGTCACCAATTCCCTGTTCACTGTTGTTCCTTGAAAGATACAGTGACAATCGAACAACGGATATCTCGAGCTTAAATGTCCGGCAGATTCCGCACTGGCACGGTATACTCTGCACACTTCTCGAACTACGGTTAATTCGATGCACCGTTTACGACGACGTTACTTTAATGTCCGTGACTAATATCGACACTCCGCTTGTCTCGAACTATGGTTAATTCGATGCACCGTTTACGACGACGTAACTTTTATGTTCGTGACTAATATCGACACTCCGCTTGTCTCGAAATACGGTTTATTCGATGCACCTTTTACGACGACGTAACTTTTATGTCCGTAACTAATATCGACACTCCGCTTGTCTCGAAATACGGTTAATTCGATGCACCGTTTACGACGACGTAACTTTAATGTCCGTGACTAATATCGACACCCCGCTTGTCTCGAAATACGGTTAATTCGATACACTGTTCACGACGACGTAATTTTAATATCCGTGACTAATATCACCACTCCGCTTGTCTCGAAATACGGTTAATTCGATATATTATAGATGGTCATGTGTGAACGATGTTTTATACCATACAATTCTGTAGAGTTAACTACGGGAGTAACGATTTGTAACATCGTAGTTCCTAGTTTCACCATCAAACATGTTGGTTCACTGATAATTTCCCTGTGTTCGTATCGAGTTTCCAGCAAGATCGTCTTGTACCTGGGCGGTATTATGAAGAAATTCCTATCGCATTTAAACACTTAACCATGATATTGTACACATGGCAGTACCCATACTTACCGAAACAAACGTCACACAGAAATATACCGTTCCGATTACCCCCATCTCACAAATGGATGCATCTGTCACACGATTTCCACGGATTCCACGTGCAAACCTTGATTGACATAGGTAATCTATTTCAGTCTCAGTAAGTTACACAGTAACCTTTATTCGTCGCTCATGCCGGACCTACTCTCGAGGAGCTTCGCTCTGGTAATATTCCTTCAAAAGCGATTACCAATGTGGAACTCTTCAAGCCCAAGTGCCTTGAGTGGGGGAACAAGAATTTTAGGCATTCGGCGACGAATTTAGAAAAGAAACTTTTTGAAAATTTTATTGACTCCGAATATGTTGTGTTTTTATACCAGTGAAAAACGATATGAACTTGCGAAACATCTTTTTAAAATCTATGTCTAGTGTGTCTGTATATTGTTGTTTAATTTTCGTTGTAATCCTGAGTAAACTTTATTCAAAGCCCTATAATCATTGCACGAGTCATAAGATAGGACTGTTATGTTCTATCTTGTAAACAGAAATATGAATCGGGTGTCAAAATGAAGCGGAGTGGATTAGGTGGCTAGCTGCAAGGCCCTGTCCGATATCTGATTGTGTGCTATCAAACGATCACGTTTGTGTATACTCCCCAGGGAGTAAAGAAAGCAATTTGAGTTTTGTTTGTGTTGCAAAAAAAGAGAGCATGCATCAAAACAAGTCAGTGATCCTGACCACCCAATCCCGTAAACCTCCTCTTACAACACGCATGGGTCGCTGAAGGCCAATTCCAACAGTTCTTCATGGGGCGAATGCAATTGGAATAACACTGGTCCATTGACGGAGTAATAATTGTGACCGCTTCAAGCAAGGATTTTGTGGAAGTGGCGCTTTAAAAATGCTCTGCTTTGCTTTGCTTGTTTGTTTGTTGTTTAATGCCGCGCTCAAAAATATCCCAGCTATATGAAGGCGGACTGATTGAGTCTGGACCAGATAAACCAGTGATAGATATTAAGAGCAACGATTCACCAAGTCACCAATGATATGAGTGAGTGAGTTAAAATTTAACATCGCATCGGCATTATTTCAGCCATATAGCAACTCAAAAAGCATGCAATCCCGATCAATGAAGCCGCTTAAATTCTGACTACAACTACAGGTAACTGGGGGCCGTGTCGAACCTGACATCCTACACTGTCTGTATAAATGTACATATCATTATCATAAATATTATTAATAATAACTGCTATTTATTGTCCATAGATGACGTGTTACAGTTCATGTCATGTTGTTGCTTTAATGATGCGTATTTAGAACAGTTCTATTCTCAACTACCACGTGACCCCCATCCCCCAATCCTCACCCCCTCCCAACCCACATCCCCATCTTCCCAAGGCAAAGGAGTTGACTGACTGTGGGTGTCCATTTCTCACCCTTGCCGAACTAGCCTGGAATGCCTGGGCTCGATCGTAGCGCCACCAGTGGTTATTTCGAGTTATGTCCCTTCTATGTCTCTCCAATGACCAATCAGATTCCACCTCTCATATCACTTTCATTTGGTTCAAACAAAATGGCGGCGCCCACTCAAGACGATCTGATCGATAATCAAGATCCATGTTGTAAAAAAACAGGTCTTAGTTCGCAAAGTAAATCAAATCAGGTAAGCACACCGTGATTACAAACATGAACAGATTTGAAAAAAAATATCTGTTGACGGTAAGTTGGCGTGCATATGCTTTGCAAATCCTGCCATAGACCGAAATCTGCACAGCGTTTGACGAACCGGATGTCGATTTCGTTACGCCATTTTGGGTGGAATAAGCATGGACTCCTCGTTGGTCCAGCCAAAATAAATCTCCAAAATTCAAGCCTTGGACCGTAAGGGCGGAGACTGAAGTTTTTTAACACATCCCTCCACCAAACCCCCCCCCACCCCACCGCCCTCATGCAATCCCTATATAGTGACACCTTGTTAGTCCGGCTCCCGTCTATCCGGAATCCCCGCTATATGGACAAATACTGTGACTATATACCTGTTTGCCTGTATATCGAAACTAACCATACGACCATGCTTCCAAGACAAACATTAATCATATAAATTTCACTTTAAAATATGTAAAATAATATTCAACCTCTCATTTTTCTCGGCCGCTTACGGATGTATTTTTTATCATCTCCAAACCATTCCCATTCTGCCCATCCTTGCAACTCATTCCCCATCACATTAGCTGCTCATTAAGCGTCACCACATTTTCCGAAAGACGTTACTTACTGTGTTCATGCGTCCCCATAATGCATGCGCCCTGAACATGCGTTAGGGTGCAATACTATGCCCCGTTCTTCCTCTCGCGGAGGAAGCACGTAGGCCCCTTGCCCCTCGAGCGCGTACCTTCCTCCCCCGTTCCTAGAGACACATACACGTTAAGAGCGGCTACATTGTCACGCTCCCAGTCAAGCAATACCAGCACCGCAGTGGCTGAAACCAGTTGAAATAGACATCAGCTCCTGAGTGTGTACAGCGCAGTGACACGTGTGTATGTGAAATACACATCACCGTGGTTTATACAAGCCACCGCTGCGATATGGGATTTATACGAAATCGACATGATGTTATGTGAAATTGACATGTTTCTATGTGATATTATCACGTTCTGATTACGGAGTAGTTCTTTATGGTCGAGCACTTCGGTTGATATTTGGTTCAATCAAAAGTTGTTTAGCGAGTTTTCATTTCCAGGAGCACTCGTCATACGTGTGGGTGGTTGACCGTGAAATAGACAAGGGGAGGGTTGCAAACGATGACAGTGATGAATATATGAACAAATTGACTAATGAGGTGAAGCTTGCAACTATCAATCAATACCCCGGAGGATTTGACAGTCTGAGTATTATTGTCAGTTAATAGTTGTGGGACCTACAACCGCATCACAACGACGGTACAACGACGTTACACCTCAACATACAGCTTACTCGTTAATGTGTGCAACGGTTCGATACAGTGTGAAGTGTTAGTGAATTAGCTGTGTTATTGTGCTGCTTGAAATCATCACGACCGACAGCGGCCAGATATGAAGTGTTCAGTGATTTCCAAGGCAAATTAAAGACAGTTGGTGAAAATGGGACGATATTCAGGAAACGTAACCTTGTTGGTTTGGATACTTTGCTGTAATTTCTGCCATGGATACACGACACTTTGGGATGTGGTGAAAAACGAGTTCTCCTTACACAAGGTAGGTGCAAGCACTCCGAGTTGTCAATCACACAGTGAGTGCTACTGTGTGTTTATGCCAACTGCTAAGTGCTGCGTGTCTCATCACTTGACTGGTATATACCTAACAACCATCTGCGCCGATTACACCGTATTTAAACACATTCCTACAATACCGATTACGTTATTGTGATTGTTGACAGTGTGACAAGACGTTCGAGATAGAAAGTAATATGACAAATGCATTGAGGCAATGGATAACGCAAATGTTGACCTTCGACATAGCCGAATATAATATAACCAGTGCCTGCTAGCTGTGATAAATACTTGCATACTATCTACGCTGATGTTTGTCTGCATGTGTCTATATAGTCTAGGTGACACAATATGTGATCAACACGTTAAGACAACCATATACAGCCCCCTGATACCTTAAAGGTTTAATATTGAAAAAAGGTCATTCTTTCATCAACTATCTAAGGGACCGACGGTTTTGGATACTCGGGGGTGGTGTGTGTGTGTGTGTGTGTGCGTGTGTGTGTGTGTGTGTGTGTGTGTGTGTGTGTGTGTGTGTGTGTGTGTGTGTGTGTGTGTGTGTGTGTGTGTGTGTGTGTGTGTGTGTGTGTGCGTGCGTGCGTGCGCGCGCGCGTGTGTGTGTGTGTGTGTGTGTGTGTGTGTGTGTGTGTGTGTGGATTGGGCGGGGGTAGGTTATGGAGACTGGATATTTCTTCAACACCAACTACAAAATCCGATATTATTTTTATTAAATCTATGTGCCTTAATAATTATTTTGAAAGCACCCGGCAACCATACATCTATTTGTGGCAGTCAATTTCTTTTGTAAAAAAGTCTGAGGTATGATCTTTTTCTCAAACAGTATCTGGAGCAACTTGTTTATTTCGATACCCCCTACCCCCCTCATATCAAATGGTCCGTTCCATCTATGCATCTATCGCATGTGTATCACACATGCCGGTATCAGGGGAACCTTCTATAGCCAGTAGTCTTGCTTCATTCCCGCCATCTCCTTGTTTACGGGTGATTAACCTCCAGCTTGTTTCTCACAGGCTAATAATCAATGTCCCCTCATTATCGTCAATCTCTTGAACATTGATCAAAGGTAAAGTACGGCGAGATACACATTTGGAGTGTACTCTAAAAAGCTGATGTTGTGAACTCGAAAATGGGTCTCATATCTATTTGTTCAGAAGCATTTTAATACATAATGTATATTTGTGTCGCTGTGATATTATACTATCCATGTAAAATAAACACATGTATCAATTATGGTATATATTCTAAGTATTACTTAACTGTTAGACAATCGGTATTTCATGTGTGAAACGGCTTGATGAATAAAATGTGATCTTCCTGACACGTTTTATACACATGCATCATTGCTATAAATATAATGATATAGATAAGTATTGTTATTCACATGGATCGTTATCATTCATATGAAGCATGATGATAAAGATGAGTAAGTATGTGGGTTGAAATTTTAAGTCACATCGGCAATATTTCAGCCATATCGTCATAATGTTGAGCCATTGAACACTTATGCAACATTGATATTGAAAATTTCACATACATAAAGGAACGTTATTAAATCTATTTAACATTCTTCAAAACATTACAAATGGTACATATGATTGTCTAAGACCTGAATAACATAGGGCTCTCCTACAATACGACACACTGCTATTTTACTGAAATACTCAATGCGGCGTTAAACACAACTCACTCACTCAGCCATTCTTGTATGAAGGGAATTATCTGTTTACTGTGTAAGTGGATGTTGTTTGACGCCGCAATCAGCACCATTCCAGCTGTATCACGGCAACCTGGAAATAATCCAGTCTGTACCAGGTATTCCAGTGCTGATTACAGGTAAACTACAACGCCATGGGACGGAATGCAACCAGTTGGTCAGTCACATAGCCTGCCATCCGATTCCTTTCTTAGCCGGGTTGTACGATACGCATAACGTACCGGGGACCTTGTCACCTGTATTGTACACAAGGATTTATTGATTGAAAACAGCGATAGTTTTGATATGAGAGGTTGTTGAACATGGTGTATGGCGTGACGCCATTCTGACGTTGTTGATTGCCACGAAGCTCAACGATACATCTTACTCAACAATACATCACACTCCATAACAATTAACAGTACCAAACAGGCCATGAATTATGCATATCTACATGTATATGTTCGAGGGTTTCTTTTGCTATTAATTCGGCTTATGACAATCAATTACTTGTTTTTTAAGACCCGACCGCCCTTCTAAAAGCCCCGCCCATTATATTAAAAAAAAATGTAATCACTATAAATATAAGTAAATGTCTTTGCCATTTTATTCCTAGTGTGCAACATCTACAGGGCCAGCTGACTGTGTCCGCCATGCCCTGAGACCTGTCTATTCATACTTCAGGGCACGCGGTCGCAAGAGGTCACAGGGTATATAAGAACCATGTTTGTTTCGTAAAAAAGATAAAAAAGTCCCCCCCCCGACCCCCCCCCACCCCCAACCCACTCAGGTTTGAACAAAACTCGCGATAAACCAGAATAGTGTTTAACTGTCATCCACAGACATTAAATGCGATGCTCATGGGATTTTGTATTGTGTTCTAACATTCATTTTGAAAGGCATTATATTGAAAAGATATTTTCAAGAAAAGAATTAAAAATGAATGATGCTGAAATTGAATTAACGTGTCATCATCCGCTTCCCATCGCTTCATATTTTATCAGTGTCGTGCATAACTGAAGCTACCTTCCATTAAACTCAAGTGACGCTTGTAACCTGTATGTTTTATACATTATTAATGTCCAAATACGGGAATACTCCTTCCATTTGTCTGCCGCGAACATACGCTCTCTCATGACCTGTCGAGCAATGATTTTTCTAAGAGCCCATTCACCCGTGCAACGCTAGTTAGACACAACCCAAAACGATGCTCGAGAGCAACGCTTGTAGAATAAATATCCTCGTCTCCGTGCCGACCCCGCGTCCGATATTGACAGCCAGATTTAAATAGCTTAACATCTGCTCTCTATAGTCAAGGTAGAAACCGACGCTAAACGGTGAAAGAAATGTACATTACTTTCTTGAAATAGGCACCTGTCGATTTCAGCCTATTGCAAATAAAGGGATTCCTGGACCTTGTTCTATTGCAACACACGTAGGTTCAGAATGCGTGTAGGGTTATTTTGTGCTAGGAAGATATATTTGTTTCTGGCACAAATTTGTTTGATTTACGTGTAAAGAAACGTGTGTTTTTGACAATGACTGTTGTGAAGTGAAAGACCCGTCCCAAGCACGTCTTTCTCTATCATTAACAAGTTCTATGTGCATGTAAATACACAGGACACGTGGCTATATATATAAACCATATCTAAGTAAAGTTTTAGATGAATACAGGCTTGTTTTTAAAAATACCAGCAAAGTTCGATATGATTATTTTTTATTCAAACCACTATTCGTTTCTTGTAACAAACGACTCTCACGTTTCAATGAAAGTATTGCGTTTTTCATTTCTGAAGATGTATGATTTGTAGTGCAGATAATATGAGAGTGAATTATGTAAGTACTTTTAGGCAGCCTTACGTAACATGACGATGTGTTCCGTATGTTCGTGACGACGTGTACCGTATATGGTCATGACGATGTGTTACGTATGTGATAATGGCAATGTATTCCCTATGTGATAATGGCGATGTATTCCCTATGTGTTAATGGCGATGTATTCCCTATGTGTTAATGGCGATGTATTCCCTATGTGTTAATGGCGATGTATTCCCTATGTGTTAATGGCGATATATTCCCTATGTGTTAATGGCGATGTATTCCCTATGTGTTAATGGCGATGTATTCCCTATGTGTTAATGGCGATATATTCCCTATGTGTTAATGGCGATGTATTCCCTATGTGTTAATGGCGATATATTCCCCATGTGTTAATGGCGATGTATTCCCTATGTGTTAATGGCGATATATTCCCTATGTGTTAATGGCGATGTATTCCCTATGTGTTAATGGCGATGTATTCCCTATGTGTTAATGGCGATATATTCCCTATGTGTTAATGGCGATGTATTCCCTATGTGTTAATGGCGATATATTCCCCATGTGTTAATGGCGATGTATTCCCTATGTGTTAATGGCGATATATTCCCTATGTGTTAATGGCGATGTATTCCCTATGTGTTAATGGCGATATATTCCCTATGTGTTAATGGCGATGTATTCCCCATGTGTTAATGGCGATATATTCCCTATGTGTTAATGGCGATATATTCCCTCTGTGTTAATGGCGATATATTCCCTATGTGTTAATGGCGATGTTCCATGTGTGTTCATGACGATGTACGTGTTCTGTATGTGTCCATGATGATTTTCCACGTCTGTTCATGAAGATGTACGTGTTCCAAAGTGTTCATGACGATTTTCCATGTCTGTTCATGACGATGTACGTGTTCTGTAAGTGTTCATGACGATGTTCCATGTGTGTTCATGACAATGTACGTGTTCTGTAAGTGTTCATGACGATGTGTTCCATATGTGTTAATGACAATATTTTTCGTAAATGTTAATGACGACGTGTTCAGCATGTGTTCATGACCGCGTGTTAAGCATGTTTTCATGATGATGTGCCCTGTATCTATGTGTTCAGGACAATATGTTCCGTATGTGTTCATGACGATGTGTTTCGTATGTATATGTTCATGACGACGTTTTCGGCACGTGTTCACGATGATGTGTTTCGTATGTATATGTTCATGACGACGTGTTCAGCATGTGTTCATGACAATGTGTTCAGTATGTGTTCATGAATGTGGTGATGTGTTTGTAAGTGATGACAGATACACAGAACACTGATGTACAAACTCTGGCACCTCTTCGTTCTGCCCTTCACCGTGTGACACATCGGATGTTTACACAATGTAATTAGTTTACCCCACTACTGTACTCCAGCTATCACTCATGGCTACCTACATCGAAGCAACACATCCATCAAC